AGACCATCACCCTGCGCGCTCTGTGGCCCACTGGAGAGAGACCCAGAGAAGCCACCCAGCGTTGAGAATCTCTCATGTGTAGACGGCCGAGTGGTACCACTGAAATAGCCGACGCCATGAGACCCAAAAGCCTGAGGCATAACGCAAACTGCACCGAACTGTGTAGGCGGAAGCGCGCCAGGCAGAACGAGAGCGCCATCACGCGCGGTGCCGAGAGACGGGCCGTGAACGCCCCTGAGTCCAGATTCAGACCTAGAAAGGTTATTTTCTGGGAGGGGAGTAAAGCGCTTTTCTGCCAGTTTATTCTGAAACCCAGACCACACAAGTGAGGGATCACAACCAGCGTGTTTGACGCTGTCTCCTCTCTGGACTGTGCCAGCAGGAGCCAGTCGTCTAAATACGTGGCCAGCCGAATGCCCCTCCCTTTCAGAGGGACGATCGCCGCCTCCGTACACCTGACAAACACCCTCGGGCTCAGCGAGAGGCCGAATGGGAGCACGGTGTATTCGTAACACACTCCCTGAAAGGCAAACCTCAGAAATTTCCTGTGTGGAGGGTACACGGGAACATGAAAGTATGCGTCCCTCAGGTCGATTGAGGTGAACCAGTTGCTCTGGTGAATCAGACGCAAAAGGGATGAGAGCGTGAGCATTTTGAATCTGTACTTTCTGAGGCATCGGTTCAGGGCCCTCAGATCCAGGATCGGGCGAATCCCGGTCCCTCTCCGCTTCGGGACCAGGAAGTACCTGGAGTAGAAACCGCTCTGAGACCGATCGGGAGGCACAATGCATATCGCTCCCTTCTCCAGCAGGGAGGAGATTTCTCCCTGAAGGATGTGAGATGACGACCCCTGGGCGTGGGAGAACACTACGCCGGAGAATCGAGGAGGAACAGAAGCGAATTGGAGCCTGTAACCCCTCGAAATAGTTCTCAGCACCCAACGTGAAGCAGAAACCGCTGTCCATTCCTCCATGTGAGTGGAGAGCGGTGACACAGCCGTGACACACGGAGCACCAGCTCCCTCCAGAGGTTGTGGGGCAGCGGTGCTCGTGGCAGCCACTGCGCATGCGCGGGGGCTTTGTACTTTGACGGCCCAGGCTTACGAGGACGCCCCGTGGCGCCGCCCCCGCCTGGAACCGCTCATGGGTGACATTTTTATTGATTTTTGCTGCGCCCTTGACATCTTGTCTGGATGCGACAGCGAACCTTTTAATGCTCCTTGAGCGTGACATGTTTGTGAAAAACAATGTGAGTGCTTGTGACGTGTGTTGTGAGCCGGCACCGCCGGCTGCACGTCCTGGCCCCACCCTGAACCGCTCGGAAACTCTGCCGGAGGGGTTCCGTGAGGGGGGGGAGAAAGCACCATGGCAACATCGAACAGGAGGAGCTGGCGAACGGGGAACCGCCAGCTGCAGCGTCGGGAGGGAAGAACTCCGACAGGCTGCCCACTTCTTCCTCCTCACCTGCTGACCGCCGTGTCTGGTGGATTGTCCCGGCGGCGGAGCAGCTTGGTTGCCGGATCGCTGAGGCCAAACTGGTCGAGGCTCTGAGCCCGAAGGAGCTGGTTGGACAGCTTGAGGCTTTGGGCGCTTTGGGATCCGGAACTGAGGCTGGGCTCGGGCAGCTGCCTGAGGCAGGTTCGGCCGAGCCGGCAGCGCCGGTGAGGGTTTACGGGGAAGGCAGAGATGAAGGGCTTCATCCTCTTTCTTTTTGGCCGCACACCGTTGCTGCATTGATGCCAGGGCAGAGCCAAAAATGCCTTCAGGCACGATTGGCATGTCCAAAAATTCCTCCTTCTCTCTCTCAGAGAGGTTGGTGAGGTTCAGCCATCGTGCACGTTCTTGAAGCACCATCATGCCCATAGCTTTAGCCGTAGCATGGACCGCGCAGCGCTGCACACGCAGGCAGATGTCGGTCAGTACGGTGATTTCCTCCCACACCTCCGGGTCCGGCTTCGTATTCATGTCCTCACAGAGCTCGGCTTGGTATGCCGAGAGCATGGAGGAGACATTCAAAGCTCGGACCGAGATGGCGGCAGCCTTGTACGCCCTCTCGTTCAGCGCCGACTGGAAGCGGTCCGCCTTCGCAGGGAGAGCGGGAGGCCTGGAGGAAGTCGCCGAGAGCCGTGGGTGCAGGTGGGCTGCAACCAGCGGTTCCATCGGCGGCATGCAAAGCATGCCAGCCTTCTCCATCCCTTCGAAGTCCAGCGAGGAGGCTCCTTGGACAGGAGACCTGGAGCTGAACGGGTGTTTGTCCCAGGAGGACCTCACTTCTTGGAGTAGCTCCGGGAAGGCGGGAAGGAGGGGCTTTGCCGCCCTCATGGCCTGAGGCAGCTTCTTTCCCTCGTAGCGGGATCTGACAGCCTCAGTGACCATGGTGGGCCAAGGGATGTTGAGCCTGGTCGCAGCGCGTCGGCAGACTGACTGCATGTCCAGGTGGGCGGCCGGAGAAGCCGCTCCATCCCTGGGAGAGGATGGAAAGCTAGGCATGGAGGCCTGAAGCTTGGTTTATGCTTGACGCATTCACTTTCCGCGCGGTGACGCGGCTCGCGGCTGGAACGCGCTTCACAACTCGCAGCGTTTATGGTTTGTGCGGCTCGTCTCTGCGGTGAGCCAATATTCTCCCAAACTGTAGGGGGCAGCATGGAGCTCTACGGCAAGCATCCAACACTACACCATAGTAGAAGTAGAAATTACTGTTTACAACATGACATTTCAGCATTTTTAACAGCGTTCTCGTCTTTTCCGACAGTGCGAGCTATTTCTCTCCAAGAACTATTAACAGCATATTGATCACGGTGATCTTTGAGAGCTGAATCATACAAATGTCTGTATTTACGAACCTCTGCCGTGCCGGTCCGCCATGTTTTTCCGCGTCCGACCGTCCGCGTGGTTAGAAATTTTCCGAGGTGCGCGTTGCGGAAATCTTGGGCCGTGCGGAGACGCGGTGGAGGGGCATGGTTGTTAAAATGACGCAAAATGACGCAACTTCTCCGCGCGGAGCCGTGCGTACCTCGCGGACGCGTCAAGCATAAACCAACCTTGAGCGATGGGGAGAAAGACGTCGTCCTCCTCGTCCTCCTCTGAAATGAGGAGTTCCGAGGTGTCCTCGTCGTCTCCGTAGTCCAACTCCAACACGTCCTCGGCGGGGTGGCTCGGACTGGCCAGTTCGAGCTGTGAGCCTCAGCTGAGTTCGGCACACGGTTCCGGCTCCGGGAGGACATGTTCGCTGGCGTCCCCAGGCGGTGGCCCAGAGGCCGGCAGGCAAGGGTCCTTCCCCGACAGGCTAGCTTGGCGCGCTAGCCGCCGGCGAAGGCTCTTCAGGGTGAAGCAAGCGCAGCTCTCACATGATCCGGGGACTTCCAATGCCAGCTGGGCGTGTTCCAGCCCGAGGCAGCTCGAGCAGACCCTGTCCGGGTCTTTGCTTGAGATTTTGTTCCCACAGGTACAGAGGCGAGCTCCTGCGCCGTCGACTCCTCTGGTGGGAGGAGCGGCTTCCATGTTGGCTAACTGGTGTGTTAGCATAGAACGAACAGATGCACTGGAGTGTGAAGCTGCTCGTTATGCCCCGAGCCTATGGTGAAGGTCAGGACAGAAGGACGGTAAGTTAACGTTCGGCGACGGAGAGAATATTAGAAGGCTCCGTCTGTGAACAGTTGAGCTAACTTACCTTAGAGATAAGCGACCACCGAAGCGAGAAGAGGTGATTGAATAGTGCGTGCGTGGGGACGCTTGCTACTTATAGTAGCAGGGGGACGCGTACGTCACGGTCACTGGCCAATCAGGATTGGCGTATTGAGATAAGTGCTTCTGAGGAATCCGCGGAGGGGCGTATCCCATAGTGAGACATTGAAACGAATGTTAAGAAAGAGAACTCGCCCCGATCTCGTGGATTCTCGCACGACTGGAAAATTGGCTCAAAAAAAGTGGAAAAGTTGCACAGTGTACGCCCGGCTTTAGTTACCTCCCTGGCTACCTCCTTAGCTACCTCCCTGCCTACCTCCTTAGTATCGTAGGTTTTTATTTTTCATCTTTACTTCTAAGAGAGTTGTTATCTGTTTCAAAACTTTATTTCTTTTTTCTTTTGTTTGGAACTGGTTCAGTAGCATTTAATACCATTATAATTGGTACTTTTACTTAATTATAAGTAATTGGTTTGAAACAAAAAAGCAGACTGTATCAGTGCCTCCCTGCCTACAAATATTGGGCTTCAACGAAATGTTCCTTGTTATATTTAATCAGAAATTACACACCCCTTTGCTTCATCTCAAATAAATATAGCATCAGTCAATAAAGTGAATGTATATACTGTACGTAGATATATATTCATATAGAAAAAAATACAGTGCTGTTTAAATCTTCATGTATTATTACCAAAAATAAGTGTCATTTATTATTTTTTTTTTCAAATTCAAATGTTTTAAGGAGACATTTTTCTCAGTGAAAAGAAGAAATATCAGCAAAAAGCATCCCAGACATGTCGTCCTTAGTGTCTCTTTAGAGTATTATAAAAGTCCTCGAGTCTGTCATGGACAGCGGGTGATCTATATTTGAGAGTGAATCCTTGACACAGGTCTTTCTGATGCTTGTGGGGACAATAGTATCTTGAACAGTGTTCATTGTGCTTTGTTGTTCAGTGATGTAGAGGCCTTGGAGCATTGGGGTTCCAGCCTCTCCTGGAGGCCGGGAAAGAAAGATTAAAGTCTGGATAGGTGAAAAGAAATGTGATAGACCCCGAACAGTCATCGTGTAACAGGACCACGCCGACGTCGGGTATAAAAATATACCCAACAAGACAGCAGGAACTGAATGTCTCCTCACCTTGCTTGTTGTTATTTTCACAACTTGTTTGGAGAAAATAGTTAAAATAGGATTGATTCCATTACAAATCCAGCTGTCTTTAGGCATCCAGATGTTCAGCTCTCCATTAAAGCTGGATACCAGCTTAACAAAATCCAGATGCCAAAAAACTAAGGATGAAAAATTCCTGTTTGAATAAATCCTCTTTGTCGGCTGCAGGGGTGGAAGGCTGCCACGTCGTTCTCACAGGAACCAAAGTTTCCAGCGTGCGTGCTTCTTGGACTCAGACTTGGACTTTCGTTTAGGGGTGGAGGTGAAGGCCTCCTGGGGGTAAGGCAGGGGAGGGAAGTGAGTATCCTCTGTAGGGCAAAGCCTCTTCATTAGTGGCTGTAGCTTGTCCTCCTGCAGCTTGAAGTCCAGTTCCACACTGCAGAAAAGAAACGGAGACAAATGATCAGCTACATCAACATCTTTTTATGCCCCTTATTCATAGAGGCAAATATGTTTTACATAGGTTTATTCAGATACAGTCCATGCTGATTAACCTTCAGCTTTTAATAAATTCCTGATAGGAAACTCATTTATTATCGCCACACTTTAGCGCATGTGTTTCTTTGTAGTTATACTAAAATATCCCATAAACCACTAGATGTGTTTTAGTGGAACTCAGAGAAATGACCTGAAGACCAAGTTCACTCGTTTTGTTAACACATTAGCAGTGGTAAGGGTTCGGGTCTCTACTAAAAATGAATGCCTTGTGAGCCGACCTCTTTGGAAAAATATTCTGGTGCTTCAGTTTCAAGAACTAGAAGTGAGCAAGAGAAAACATGAGCAGCAGGTGACAGGATTTGGAGTTTTATTTCCTGATTTTCTGACATCTCACCTCTGATTGGCTAACAGCAACACAACTCTACCTCTGACTATGTTTGCTCTTCAATGTTGACCTTTTATCTCCACAAATAACACAAGCCTGAAGGAGTTCTGCTGTGAGGTGGAGTTGCTAAAGCTACCGGTTAGCCTCTATTTCCTGGATGCTAAACCAACAACAGCCATCTCCGTCATGAGCCAAGAAGGCCATGAATACAAATTTTCACTGTGACATGCAAATGCTAGGCTTTTCTAATCCAAGTGTTTCCCTCTCCATTTTGTATCAGTGGCTAATGAAGGGAATGGGGATAAAAGACTATTTTCACATTCTGCCTGCATCTGAAACTCGGAGTGTTTCAATATCCATCCATCCATTTTCAGCCGCTTATCTGGGGCCCAGACTTCCCTCTCCCCAGCCACTTGAGCCAGCTCCTCTGGAGGACTTGTAAGGCGTTCCCTGGCCAGTTGAGAGACATAGTCCCTCCAGTGTGTCCTGGGTCTTCCTTTAGGTCTTCTCCCGGTTGGACGTGCCCGGAAAACCTCATCAGGGAGGCATCCAGGAGGCATCCTAACTAGATGCCCGAGCCACCTCAACTGGCTCCTCTCAATGTGGAGGAGCAGCAAGTCTACTCTGAGCCCCTCCCGGATGACAGAGCTTCTCACCCTATCTCTGAGAGAGAGCCCAGACACCCTGCAGAGAAAACTCATTTCGGCCGCTTGTGTCCACGATCTCGTTTTTTTGTGTTTTCTCAGTGAACCTGAACCGACTCTTTCAGACAAACTGGTAATGCTGATAGATGGCGTAAGATGTTTAGGTTTCAAAATTTGACCAGAACAGCTCTAACATAATTATTTTGTCACATGTTAAATCTAAAGTATGACATTAGAGATGGATTGCTAGGGCTTAAATTAAAAATTATATTAAAAAAATTATGATATTTTATTATCGTTATCTTAATTTTTTTACATTTAGAGAATCAAACACTAATGAATCAGCAACAGACATCAAAGTATGTTTTTGATAATAGGTGTGGTAGAACTCAGCCACTTGACTCAAAGCAAACTAACACTAGGTGAAATGTTTGTTCTTTGACAGTTCTTTTTTATGTATTTTTTTATATTTTAATAATGCCCACTAAAATCAGGCTTCTGTCTCCCATTATCACATTCAATCCTTAACTTGATTCAACAGCCACGTCACTCTTCCAATGGTATAAAGCATTTTCCGTTTGGCCTTTTCTCACTTGACCTCTGCACAGGCATCTGTTACAGCTCTGCTCAGCCTGCTGAAGTGACCTACATTCTCATTTGTTCCATCCGTTCTTCCCAGTAAACCCATCAGCCGTGTGTTGTCCAGCGCATCTGTTTTCCCGTTCTTCCTCTGGGGCTGTTTTTACTTCTTTGTCTTTTTGTGGTGATTCATTTAGCAAGAAGGAAGTCCATTAATGCAACACCCTCCCGTAAGGAGCAGTCTCTCAGCGGAAGGGGTATAGGACTGAATATCACTTGCTCTGCTGAGTGTAAGCATTGGCGTGAGTCAATAGAGATGCTGATGCTGGAATATTTAAAAAAATGCAGAAGGTGATTGAATTCTATTCGTTTTGAGGCGTGTTTTTTTTTCTTTTCCCACATAGTCACAGAACCTTGTTTTTTTCTTGGCTTGCTGTGTGTCACTTTCCCCAAAGCTGAAGGGGATTTATCTGGACCAGCCATCATTGTAATCCACGCCCGCGCACATCTGATCGCTAGGTTCTGCTAAGTGAAACTCAGATTACAGCCACAGCTGTGGTAAGTGTAGGGACGTTAATCTGCCAAAGCCATCTCCAGTCACTACCTGAGTCCGGCAGCAGCGTGTGACTGACACATTTACAGCAGTAGGCTGGTTTTAAATGCATAATGACTCCCAGATACAGGCTCTATAATTAACAATGATGCACTTAGTATTGATTAGAGCCCACCGGACACGAATGTGGTGGTTGGACGATGAGTAAAGTGAAAGTTGAGCTCAACCAGACACTCAGCACTTTGCTTTTGTTTGACTCAAACCTTTACTCGTGGCCACGAACGCCGGGGCTTTAATCAATACATCATTGGCTGTTAATTACACTGCTATTAATCCTCATTCCTTGCGCGCGTGTGTGTGTGTGTGTGTGTGTGTGTGTGTGTGTGTGTGTGTATGTGTGTGTGTGTGTGTGTGTGTGTGTGTGTGTGTGTGTGTGTGTGTGTGTGTGTGTGTGTGTGTGTGTGTGTGTGTGTGTGTGTGTGTGTGTGTGTGTGTGTGTGTGTGAGAGAGAGAGAGAGAGTATGTTCAACCTCTTCGGTGTATTTTTCTGATGCTAAATTAGTTGAAAGGTTTTCATTATTGACAACCCTGTTAATTCTATATTTTTAAACTCAACTGAGAAAAGGTTTACAAATAAAAAAAAATTGAATGAATGCAAACCTTTATCTGAATCTGTAAATACCACGACAGCTAAAAAGCCCTTTTTAAGAACAAAGTCTTTCTTTGATATTTTTTAAACTGACTACAGACAAACTAATCAGACATTTAATTGATCAAATATTATCAGATAATTCTATTGGTTTAATTAATTAAACTGGCATTTATTGGGTAGACTAAAAAGAGTCGGACTTTATTGTCCTCTGGTTCACAAACTCGTTCGTAGGAGTTTGTGGTATCTGTCTTTCTTCAGCATGCTGATCTTCTTAAACATTTCAGTTTCATATTCTTACTCATCTTTTCACCAAAATAAATTGTTGATAGTCTAAAAAAACCCACATTAAGTGGTTTCTTAGGAGTCATTTTCATTAACCTCTTTCTAACTGTCACCACTTGGATCCCAACGAGATGGTTCATCGTCTCGGACTAGTGGCAGAACACACAGTCTTGACCAATGGACTGGGTGTGGAAATCTACAAGTTTATGAGAGATGAAGAGAACAATTCCCAGAGGAGGACCTGAAGACAGAGTTCAGTTGAGTCATGGAGACAACTAAGTGCAGAGAACATGGTGCCTACTTAAGTAAAACTGCGTTTACTTTTTCCTTTTTCAGTTGATCGTAGAGGTAATACCACACAAAAGTGGGTTATGTTTGTTTGCTGAAGTAAAAAGATAAATAATGAAAGTCGGGTTTCCAGCCCCCCGCCACTCACTTGATATATCTAAACATTTTCATTATTCTCTTCTATAACAGTTAAATCAGGAAAACAAAGTGTGATTGAGACAATAAACTATATGTTTTCAGTGATTTTTACCAACATTTTTAGGCTATAACTAGCAAAAAGCTCCATGATTTGTGTTTTTTATTTTTTCCTTTCAAAATGGGTTTTAAATGTGACTGCATTCCATCTAAAGGATTAAACAGGATGCATAGACCATTAAAAAAAACTGTAGTCGCTGTTAGAATAGCACAATCTTTGTTCTTACAGTTGATGACTGAGTCAACCAAACATGAGCAATCAGTGATGAAGCAATAGGATGAACCTTTCATTCAGCATTTTAAATCTCCTAAATAAGCCCCAGTTAATGCAATGTAATGGCACAAAGAAACTGGTCTCATTAGCATTTTTCCTGTATTTTGGAAGTAAAGTCATTCAGTGCAGTCATTCTGCTTTCCTCTCAGTCACTCACAGACAGATGAACCAGCACAGGATGTACTTTAAGTCTCTAAATCTGCAGAGCCTGTACACCTAATGGTTAACCCACACAGACCTGTTTATCTTTTTCAAGGTGATTTAATCTGGCACAATGAGCAGAATCATCAGTTGATTTGCACACATTTTTATAAAAAATGTCTCATATTTTAGTATTTTTTCCAATACATGATCAGAACAGTTTCTGTCTCCTTTCTAACTAGCCATAATGAACTCAGATAATCAGATACATGATTCAAACAAAGCTGAACACAATTACTGATTCTGTGCGTTAACCTTTGTTGCTGCTAATAACTCCCTTCCTAAATGGTAAATAGGTTGATATAGTGCCTTCTAGAGTCCTAGAACCCCCCAAGACGCTTTAAATCACAATCAGTCATTCATCCGCGCGCGCACACACGTACACACACACACACACACCCCGGTCCCACACCGGCCCCTTGGATCACCCCCACCTGGCAATGTGGGTTAAGTGTCTTGCCCAAGCACACAATGACAGAGTGAGCGGGGATTGAATCTACAACCTTCTGATTACAGGGCAGACATGTGTTTAGTTGCTCAGTTAAGCATAAATACCATGAGAAGTTAACAACTGACATCTGAGCCCCAGCTCAGTTTCTGGTTTCATTTCTCACCTGCCACCGACACATTTGGCTCCGCTCAGCTGGTTTAATGTTGCAAATCATCATTAAGCAACAATCATTTCTGTCTTTTGCGGCTCACCTACTTCCTGCATTAATGTCCAAAATTGGATCTTTAGACTTATTCCAACAGTAATAATAATCGAGGGGCTGTTTTGCTAATATTCAAGCGTTCTGGTTTGATAGAATGTAACCAGGTGTTAGAGGAATTAGAAAAGTACCATACCATATACCTCACCAGCCATATACCATTGTAACAGCACAT